AGATCCGCCTGGCTCTGCCTCCCGAGTGCTGGGATTAAAGGCGTGCACCACCACCGCCCGGCTTAAAGTCTCTTTTTTAAAGACAGGATTTTATGAAACTCAGGCTGACTTCAATGTATCTAAGGATGGACTTGAATTCCTGATTTCACTGAATCTTCCTCCCCACCCCCGTGTTGGGGTTACAGAGGTTTGCTACTATATCAGGCTGTTATTTTCTATGTCATAGGAATAACTCTTGGGAGCTATGGCAGGCTCTAGGGTAGGCTTCTCTTCCTAAACAAAGCTGAATTTGTGGTTGAGCAAACATTTGTCCTGAGGGGCTTGTTCTGTGCCTTTCAGGGTTTTTTGTCACCCATTCTGTGTTCTGTGCCTTTCAGGGTTTTTTATCACCCATTCTGAAAACTTTACCCAACATTTGCCAGTAATACAGGCTGTGAGAAATGTTCTCCAAGCATTTCTTAACGTCTTCTCAGGTGCAATGTCACCCCTAATAATAGTGCTCTAATAATACTGTGAAAAGACAAATAACCCCTTGTCTTCAAATGCATTTAATCACATATTATCCTTACTCTAAAGTATCTTATGACTCTCAGAAGAATCCATCTCCTTTACTTTCTCATGAAAGAACCATTTATACTATTATAATTGCTTCAGATGATAGAAATTTTCTTTAAGTAGTATATGAATCTCAATTAATATAAAAAATAAACATGTACAGAATTATTCCCCAAATAATTCTTTCACCTACAACTTCTTTTTGTTTTTATTTATTTGTGTGTTTGTTTTATTCCTTAGATTACCTTGAATTTTTGCAGGTATCAGGGAAAGAAAGACAATGTGATCTCCTTGATACAAAAACACGCTGCTCTGCATTCATAACATATGTAAGATTAAATAAAAATACCCATTCATAATAAAAGAAATTTCCAATTTGTCAGAAAAAATTAAAAGAATGGAGCAATAAAAAATATCCCATTTTTAGACTTTACATGTATTTATAGTGTCTAGAAAATGCAGAAGAAAACTAAGTCACACAAATGGAAATTCCTGGCATAGTAATCTTAAGGACAATAATTACTGGTAGTATAATGATACTTTATATTTCTGTTTCATGTAAATAATATTTAAGTTTAGACATTCAGAGTTTGGAGAGGATCAAATCAAAACACTGTATTTAACACATATAGGACTACTGTACTCTGGACAGGTGTGGTTATCTGCCCAGACCTAAGCAAGTTCGAGCCAGTCAACAGCCCTGCATGAAACCCAACTATTAGCTGAGGAGCTACTAACAGTTCATGGCTTCTGAGGAGAATGTTTTTTAAGGGTGTGGTCTCTGGTTGGTTGGTCATACTCTGGTGGAAGTCTCCATACCCAAGAGTACATGGAGACCACTAATTTGACCCAGTGGGTTATAGTTTACTTACGTGTTTGTATGTGTGCCTCTATAATAGTAGTTTATGTGCACCACATATATGAATGTTACTATAGAGGCCAGAACAGATCATTAGATCCCCCAGAATTGGGGTTGTAGGTGGTCTTGGGCTGCCCACTCTGAGTGCTCAGAACTGAGGAACTGAACTCAGGTCCCCTTTAAGAACAGTAAACATTCATAAGTATTCAGCCATCTCCTCAGCACCAGTGCTCTATGTTTGTAGTGAATTTCATTCTTTTACCATAGATAGGTTGTGAGATTAATTTCCTTTACTAAAATTTTTTTTTATAATATACCTCTCCTACTATTGAAAAGAAAAGAGCATCCAGACAGAGTTACAGTTATTGCTTTTCATACTATTTTTGTCTGTAATAATAAGAGTTCTCTGTAGGTTTAGATCATGTATAATTTCAAAAAGAGCATACCCTTTGGAAGTAAAAGAAAAATACATAAGACTATTGACACACAATATAATTTATGCTATTCCATCATCTAAGTGATTTATAATTTCCAAGCCTGTATTCAATATAAATTTTACATTTATATTGAATGGATATATATTGTTGAAGGAATGGATAAGTAACTCTGGTTATTAGTAAGGGCACCTGAAGACGTTCATTGCAAAAAAGATATAGGCTTGAAATATACTTACATAGTTATTTACTAGTGTTAATTAGTGTTACTTACAAAATATATAGGAATATGATCTATTATATATTGGAGGCCATATGAAACCTGGGGTTTGTAAAGGTTATTAAGCTAGACTGTCTGAAATGAGTGAAAGATTGGGTTAATTTATTACTATAAAAATAAATAAATACAGTGAAGCCAGCATTCTTATTTTGTTTTGTTTGTTTATTTGTTTTGCAGTTAATGTATGTGTATCACTTCATAAGAAGACCAATATCTCACTGTTTACCTGCTGGGATAAAATAGACTTCAGGGAAAATTTCCACCAAAATACAGTAGTTGGTAATGACAAGAAATACTTAAAAGAAAACCAACAAGGAATGTAATTGGCTTGTAATTCTGAGAAAAGAATACTAGAAAGCATTTCACTAATTCTCTATGATTGTAGAGTACAAAAATATAAGTTATATATTCTAACACTGAGTTATTGACACCTTACAGTTAATAATGCTCAACAATAGTTTTCCAAAAAAGGTATAAATCCATTAGGAATGAATACCAAATATATATTTCTGTGTAAACATAATGGGATAAATATTTTAATTTTAAACTTTCTAATCATTTCAGATTTCAACATGTTGGATTCTGAACACAGTGGAGGCCAATCTTACTGTGTGTCATACATGAAAATGTATGATATTATCTGTAAGTGGAAAGAAATTAATATTAATACAATATTATTGATTAAACTACATATCTTCATGTCTCACCAGATTTCCCACTAGTAACTATTTTCTGTTGCAATTTAAAAATTCCACACTAAACCTAGTAAAACAATATTTTCATTCTTATTTAAAAAAATATTTTTAAGAAACAGCAACTGATGCCTTTGAAAATCCTTTTCTACAAATACCCCCGACAAATGCTTACATATTACCTGGTAAAATTGTGACCCAAAAGAGCAGAATAAAGAGAAAGAGATGAATCTTCATGGTACAGTTTCTTAGGCAAGAAGTGACAGCAGATCTTCTTTTGAAAGTCAGTTTGTTTTGCAATCAGGGGACAATGACCACTTTTATTTATAGATCTTCCTAGAAAGGAAATTTAACTACTGAAGCTTATAAAAACCAAAACTATTTGTATGTGTGGGTGAATTGTGTCATTTTCAAAGAACATGATCATAAAACTATTACTAGTGAATTTCCTCAGGAAAACAAAACGTGCTTGGATTAATTTATAATGAACTTCCCAGTAAGTAACTTTTTCTGAACTATTTCAATAAGGAATATTTGTTTAAAATGATTGCTAAAAGAGAAATGTTGAAAATTACAGCTACATGGCATTCAGTTTTATGATATTTTTAGTGCTAACTGTTCAAATGTACCTATTATTAAATCATTCGGTGATATCTCAGAATTTTAGAGCTGGAGATTATGATTGAATTTTTGTGTTTTACAATTTAAAATATTAGAGGCTTAGAGACCAAGTGATTGTTTCTGTTATAAGATGCAATTATTTATATATTACATGACCAGGAATTCTGTATTCACTGATGGTTGTGGAGAAGACTTCCACACATTTTAATGGTAGCTTATTAATTTTTAACAATTACCCATTCAATTTCAACCTTCAAAATCTAATACTTTCCATCATTCTTTTTATGGACCTGAAAATGATGTCAGATTCAATATACATGCTTTTAATATCCTTATTTTACATATGGTAAAATTAAATTGCTGCCAGTTGACCCAGCTTACAGAAGTTGATATTGTAAAAATGAAAGCAATGGATTCCCCTATCACAGGGTCAAATCAAGTAAAATACTGGCCTGTTTTTTTTTTCTTGGTTTTTCACGACAGGGTTTCTCTGTGTAGCTTTGCGCCTTTCCTGGAACTCACTTGGTAGCCCAGGCTGGCCTCGAACTCACAAAGATCCACCTGCCTCTGCCTCCCGAGTACTGGGATTAAAGGCGTGCGCCACCACCGCCCGGCGGCCTGTTGTTTTTAAACTTTACCTACTTAATAATTCCCAAGAGGGCTAGTTCAATCGAGATTTCAGAGCCCCCTCCCCAAGTCTGATTTGGTAGATTGGAAATGGAGGTTCAGAATTTGCAATTCTGTTAAGACTAAGAACTGTTATTACTATTGAAGGCAGTGTACATTACACTGGTAGACCTGATCTGCCCATTCCATACAGAAAATAAATACATGAGAAGATTCATAAAGACTGGAGCTGGTTGGAAATTTCCATCCAGCCTTTTCACCACAGATGAGAGAGGGGAAACAATAATAGTTGAACTTACAAAAACCTGATGATAACACATGCAACAAATATTTCAAGCTATAAAGTAACAATGGAAACTGTGGAATGAGGACAAATGTCAAAGAAGGGATTCAGGTTCTGTGGAAGAATATTTTCTTCCTGAGAAAGAATAAAGTATGGAGAATTCACCATTGCTGAACTGGAGAAAAAGTTCATTGCCATTCTACTACGTAATATTTAATACATGGATATTATGGAGCATTGACATTTAGAGTTCAGTAGTTGACTTCTAGTTCCATTCATTACTGGACACATAGGATATCATGAAAACATTTCTACTTTGGAAAGTAGTGTACTGGTATAGCTTGGATAGAAAATATAGATGAATAGAGCCTGAATACCAGGACATTTGCCCCTTACCATTGGTTATATTTAAAGGATTTACAAAGAAATCACATTCAGCCATCAACCAAATAGAACTGGGGTGATGTTAAGATGTTATGATAAATTTCATTCTAAGAGAAAAATTACTATCGGAATTATGATGTCATGTAATGATAAAGTATCAATCCATCAACAACACATCAATATTCATGTATATGCTAACATAGAATCCTCAAAATGCACTGAGTATAGAGCTGAATGTGACAAAGTTGAATGAAGAAATGAAGAAGTTGTGAATATAATGATACTTGGGGCACTAAAACCTCACTTTGAATAATAAATTATGTAAGTAGAATTGGTAAAGAAAGCATACTGACACATCTGTAGAATATTCAAACCATCAAAAAGCAAAACACCACACACACACACACACACACACACACACACACACACACACACACGGCAAAACACATATTCCTCTCCAGTGATCATGAAACATTTCTCAAGCAGCCAATATACTAGGATATAAATAGTTACAAACAAGTTTTGAAATTAAAACTATGTATTTCTAATCAATTATGCATGTTAGAAATCAACATGTGAAGAAAATTTAAAGGTCATAGACATTTGATAATTAAACAATAAATTTCTAAATAAATAGTGTCTTAAAAATGGACCAAATGTAGATCTCATCCATTTCTCTGGACATCAGAAGGGGTAATGAAGGACAAGGATGGAGGGAAAGAGAGCTTAGGAGACTGGGAGATACCAGCTGGATCAAGAACAGAGAGGGAGAACAAGGAAAAAGAGACCATGATAAATGAAGACCCCACGGGTATAGGAAGAAGCAAAGTGCTAGAGAGGTCCCCAGAAATCCACAAAGATACCTCAACAAAAGACTACTGGCAATGGTCGAGAGAAAGCCTGAACTGATCTACTCTGGTGATCCAGATGGCCAAACACCCTAACTGTCCTGCTAGAACTTTTATCCAATGACTGATGGAAGCAGATGCAGAGATCCACAACCAGGCCCCAGGTGGAGCTCCAGGAGTCCAATCGGTGAGAAAGAGAGGAGGGATTGTATGATTGAGAATTGTTGAGATCATGATCGGAAAAAGCACAGGGACAAATAGCCAAACTAGTGGAAACACATCAACTATGAACCAATAGCTGAGGAGTCCCCAACTGAATCAGGCCCTCCAGATAAGTGAGACAGTTGATTAGCTTGGACTGTTTGGGAGGCACCCAGGCAGTGGGACCGGACCTGTCCTTACTGCATGAGCTGGCTGTTAGGGACCTGGGGCCTATGCAGGGACACTTCACTCAGCCTGGGAGGAGGGAACTGGACCTGCCTGGACTGAATCTACCAGGTTGAGCTGAATCCCCAGGGGAGTCCTTGCCCTGAAGGAGATGGGAATAGGGGATGGGTTGGGGAGAGAGTGGGGGTGGGGGCGGGAAGGAGGGAGGACGGGGAATCCGTGGCTGACACGTAAAAATTAAATTAAATTATAAAACAAAAATTAAAAAAAAATAGACCAAATGAAATAGGTGCATTATAAATAGGCAACTCATGATGCATAATAAAATACAATTTTAGGGAGCTGGGGTGATGAATTAACAGTTAAGAGCACTTACAGCCCTTACACTAGGCCAACTGAACTATGTCCCTAACTGACAGAATACCTTAACTATCATTTTTGTTTTTAATGCACATGTATCCCAAAAAGTAAAACGAGTAGTTTATAAACTGTATAAAACTTAGACTTGTTTTTATTTATTTTTCTCTCAAATAAATAGTTTCCCCTCCCTCCCCCCTCCCAGTCTCTCCCCCTAACCTCCCCTCTTCCCCAGATCCACCCCTACAGTTTCCTTCAGGCCTTCCAGGAATATCAAGCAAACACAACATAACAAGATGCAATAAGACTAGGCACAAACCCTCATATGAAGGATGAATGAGGCAAACCAATAGTAGGAAAAGGGTCCCAAGAGCAAGCAAAAGAGTCAGAAACAACCCCCACTCCCACTGTTTAGAGTCCCACAAGAAGAGCCAGCCTCACAAACATAACATGTGTGCACCAGCTCAGACACATACTGGATCCTGGATTGTTGTTTCTATCTCTTTGAGCCCCTATAACCCCTGCTTAGTTGATTCGGTGGGCCATGTTCTTGTGATGTCCATGACCCCTCTGGCTCCTACAATCCTTCTTTCCCCTCTTCATTAGGCCCAGCATAATATTTGACTGTGGGTTTCTGCATCTGCTCCCATCAGTTGCTGGATGAAGCCTCTCTGATGGCAAATGGGCTAGGCACAGATCTATGAGCCTAGCAGAATTCTGAATCATTTCATTTATTTTTTCCATTAGTGTTTAATTATATTTTAGGTCTCTGGGTGATCCAGACTCTGGTTCCTGGCACTGTCAGATATAGGCTTTCTCTCCTGGTGTGGGTTTCAAGTTGGACCAGTCATTGGTTTGCAACTCCCACAAGTTCAGTGCCATTATTTGTGGGGCATACATGGGCTGCAAAGAGGGTGCTGAGAGAAATTCAGAGATAAATAGAGCTTAAGCTTTAAGGTGTTTATGCAGAGAGTGGATACAAATGGTGAGAAAGAAAGTTAGCTCAAGTTATTTATGCTAAGATAAGATACTCAAAAACAAGAGATAGTGTCAAGACATAAACAACTTGTAAATAGGGTGCCCTTTAAAATGATTGGTTTGTTCCTTTACCCCCTCCTAGGGTTCTGAGGTTTTCTGGTATAAAAGAGGCTTACTGCCTATCAATAAGCGAGTTCTTGCTTGACTTGACTCCCCGCTGCGTCTGATTGTCAACGGGTAAGAGGGAGTCTGGGAAACCGGCAGGGGAACAGGCAAGCAGTGAGCAGAAGGCACTTGCCTTTCCAGGCCACCTCTTCACAGGAGACCTAAGTCCCCGGTGGGGCAGGTCCCCACAATTATTATGCCAGCACACATTGCTGGCAGAAATGATTGTAGGTTGAAGGTTTTGTGGCTGGGTTAGTGCCCCAATCTCGCCACTGGAAGCCTTGCCTGGTTACAGAAGTTGAACGATTCAGGCTCTGTATCCCCCATTACTAAGAGTCTGCTAGTTACCTAGTAAGACTATTTTTACTTAAGTATTGTTTTGGGTCGTGAGTTAATCCAGGAGAAAATACAACAAAAGCTGGTTTTTATAATAATCATTATAAGAAAAAAAAGCATTAGTGAATATTTGTCTACATAACAAAGAAGAAATTTCAGAATAAAGGCAATTTCAATGAGCATATTCTAGTGAACTTTCACGAAAATAAAAGAAACATATCCTGGTCTTTAACTTCATCTGCTTGAGCTACTATGTCAAAATTTAACCACTTTTTCCCTCATGTGAAAAACTGTCTAAAAAAGGTGATCTACGCTTGAGTGTTAGGCGAGA